CCGGACCGGCCACCCGGTGGCACCTTCCTCTGCCGCCCCCAATTCAGCCCTGCCGCCGGGCCCCCTGAAGGCGGCCCTGGCGGCGGGCCCCCCTCCCGGCCGGGCCCTCGGACCGTGTCCGAAGTGCCCGACCGGTCAGTCCGCCCCTGAGTGTAAGTCACTGTGATAAACTGGTCACTGTATATGTTGTGTCATATTTTTATAATATTATAAACATGTCCCTTTTTCAGGAAGGTCGAAGATGCAAGGTGTCATGACACTTATTAATCGCTGTTTAAGAATTTTCCTAATGGGATCCTAACAATGAACCCTTGGTATATTTTTATATTTGAATTGTCTGTGAACTCTCTGTTGAAGACTTTCCGATCAGTTCATGATGGCACACTAGAGGTATATATAAGATGCATTGCACCTCTTTTGGTGGGTGGGGGCTCTCCATTAGCCAAATCTGACATTGGGTTAAATTTTCATCTACTGCTAATGCGCCCTGACTGTTTCCTATTTCTTGTCACCTTTTTGAAATATGTCATCTTTCTAGTTGGTGAGGAGGCGGGCAGTTGCCCGCTGCTCCATTATTGGGATGTTTTTGTTCGTTGGCCCTGCGGGCAGTTCTGCCTTTGCAGATTTATTGTCGAGGTTCTGAGAGATCATGGACCTCTTTGGTGTCCAGATAGCCGATGACAAGACAGAGGGACTGGTAGTGGTTACTGTATATGTTGTTGGTTATGGCTGGTTTAAAATAAAGCTGTGGCCAAACCCTTTTACCCTTGTCTAAGCAGTCTTGTGTTTATTTAGTGGGAATGGGGCTTGGGGTGGTGGTAATTTTTGTTTTAGGCATGCCTTTGGCAGTTATGGTGGTGGGATATCTGTAGCCAGCATGTTGTTCATGCTGCAGTCAGATGGCCAATATACATAGGCGTGCGCAGCCTTTTGCATTAGGGTGTGCACCCTAAAGCACAAACACACGTCGCGTGTATATGTATGTATGTATGTATGTATGTGTATATATATATATATATGTGTGTGTGTATATATATATATACACACACACACATATATATGCACACACATACATACACTGCTGTGTGTGTGCTGTGTGAGGGTGGTGTGAGGGTGCTGTGTGTGTAAGGGTGCTGTATGTGAGGGTGCTGGTAGTGTGCTATGTGGGTGAGGGTGTTTGTGTGTGCGGGTGCTGGTAGTGTGCTGTGTATGTGTGCCGTGTGAGGGTGGTGTGTATGTGCTGTGTGTGGGTGTTGTGTGTTTGTGAGGGTGCTGTTAGTGTGCTGTGTGTGTGAGGGTGCTCTGTGTTTGTAAGGGTGCCGTTAGTGTGCTGTTTGTGTGCTGAATGTGTGTAGGTGCTGTATGTGTGTGAGGGTGATGTATGTGTGTTGGTGCTATGTATGTGTGTGTGGGTGCTGTATGTGTGTAGGTGCTGTATGTGTGGGTGCTGTGTGTGTGCTGTATGTTTGGGTGATTGTGGGGGGTGGGGGCAGATTAGTTAATATCCCCCCTCCCTTCTATGTAGGGAGGGGGGACCGTGCTGCTGCCTTCCCTGGTGGTCCAGTGGAGAGTGAACGCTAGCCTGCGGGGCTAGCGTTCGCTCTCGCGAGATCTGAGCGTTGCCGCGGCAACGCTCAGATCTCGCGAGAAGAACCCAGCGGAGCTGCTGGCTAGAGCTCCCCGGGTCCCCTCCTGCCTCCCTCCATGCTGCTGTGGGCAGGTGAGGTAGATCTTTGATCTCCCTTCCGGCCCATGGAGGCTTAGAGCAGAGCTGGCGCTGGGATAGCGCCGGCTCTGCATGAGCCGACAGGGGAGATCCTGAGATCTCCCCTGCCGGTCTCAATCCATAGGCGTGAACGCCTATGCCAATATACCCAGTGATAACATCAGCCACCTGGAACTCTTGTTACCAGCTGCTAATGACTCTCCTATAATACTTTTAGAGGTGGAGTTAAACCTCCTGCACCTGTGGACTTAAACTCTGTACACACAGCGTTTCATAGCAAAACTCTTCACATACAGACACCAAGCACCATGCCAACTTCAAATCATCGCAGTGGTCATGTTCCTAAGAGTAACCCTTTAAGGAAACTATAGAGATAGCATTCCTTCTTCTCCACGCCTCTGCCAACAGTCTATAAACTGATTTAGAGACATTGCAACATTTTTTGTTATATACAGATTTATTCACTAAAATGAAAACTCAACGTGGATTTCAAATTTAAGGTTAGAGTAGCTGAACTGAAAGCATAGCTGCAGAGAATTTTTCCAGTTCGGCTATTTGGACTTTAAATTTGAAATTCACTTTGAATTCTCACTTTAGTAATTAACCCTGTTAGTATTTATAAAGCATCAACCAATTAAGCAGTGCAGTACAATTAAATTTGGAACAGACAAACCCATCAGAGAATTAGAATCTAACATTTACAGACCTTTTATATCTAAAGCTTTCCAAGTTGGCTTGTGAGCTTACAATCTAACTCATGCAGATATTCACTGGTGTATTTGCTGCATGTAAAAGACACCCGACGACAATCTGCTTTTTTTCTGAGCTAAAAATAAGACAATTGTTTACTAAATAATGAATATTGATCATTAAACAATCAGGCTAGAATATCTAGCACCCAGTGCAGCAATAATTTTAAAGTGCAACCATAAATCAAGTCAGCCCACACGCCAATGGCTAGTTTCATATAATAACTGCTGATATTGGCATGGTTAGATTAATGTTAACTTAACCAGGCTCATCAATACTCACAAATGTACCGTGACATGTCATTCGAATCATCAATATAGTTTGATGCTGCATAAGTTGTTAAACGCTAACATTAAATGTGCTGCATTTAAAGAGCTCACAAAAATACTTTGGCACATGTATATTGATCATTCTTATTGGATTTAAAGTGAACCCGCAGTTCACAAAATGCATAGATGACAAACTTAGCTTTAGGTAAGTCTACATTTAATTGTCATTGGGGAAAAAACCTATATAATAGGATACTCTAAGCAACATAATAACGTTAAATGAAAGAAGCAGTTTTTATGTATAGATCAAGCTGCAGTAGCATGATCTATAGACCAAAACCTCTTTATTAAACTAAAATTATTTTGAGGTTCAGAATATCCCTTTAAAAAAATTGTATATATACCAAACAAGCTAACTAATAGTCAACAAAAGATTATTATATTATTAATATTATTATTATGAACTCTCTGGAATTCAAAATGAATCACAAATTTTAGTCCAAACTAGCCAAACTGAAAACAGATTTGACTTGGAGAACTTCTAATTTGACTGTTTTGGCCTAGAAAGAATCTGAAATTCACTTTTACAGACAATTCACACTTTAGACCAGGGGTCCTCAAACTCTGGCTCCCCAGATGTTGCTGAACTACAACTCCCATGATTCTCTGGCTATGTAATTCAAAGAATCATGGGAGTTGTAGTTCAGCAACATCTGGGGGGGCTGGAGTTTGAGGACCCCTGCTTTAGAATGACCAAGCTAGTTAGTTATTACCTTGTAAAATATTAGTGGAAGTGATAATTTCCCATTAATTAATTAATTTTAAGGACAAATGACATAGTACTGATGAAAGGTTAAATGTATCCGCCCTTCCCACCCGCACATCATAAATTCTGAATAAACCACAATAGGTTCTTCTGTTGTACTTGGATAAACACTATACTGACTTTTGTACTGCTGATAATTCTTACATTTTAACCTGTCCTGATTTTGTTCTTCTGGTGAAAATCTATGTTCTCCCTCTCGTGTTTGTCTAATGGATTCAGATTGTGTTCGGGCTGCTACGCGGTGTAAGTGCCTCAGCCAATGTAATGAATATTTTAATAGTTTGAAGTCTACAGAATGAGCCCTGGGATGAGTTAATGTTATAAACAAAATGTTTTGCGGGATTTAATGTGTGAAGATTGACGGCTTCAAAACTATTACAGAGGATTACCTTGCCTGCTACATCCAGCCCCTGATGTACAAGTCTGTGTTTATATATAGATATACAGCATACAGAACCCAGCACAGTCACTCACTTCAAATATCACAAAATGTAATTGTTTTTTAAAACACCTGACTTAGGCAAAAATAGTGGGGATTTAGTTACAGTGTGTGAGCATACATTGCACAAGCCTACCAGTACCCTTATAATGTATGCATGTTTAGGTGAGCGCAGCGAGAGAGATAGAATACATAACAGTAAACTATGTATTATTTGAAAATAATGCCATCTCAGGGTTCTGGAGACATCATAATAAACCCTAAGAATAAAAGTTAAAGAGTTTATTAGACATGCGCAATTCGTTTCGGTCTGAATGTGAATTCGGATGAATTTCGGGCAATTCGGACATTCGGGTACTTCTGAACGTCCAAAGTGCCGAATTGCCGAGGTCCCGAATTTCCGAAAGTGCCGAAATTGCTGAAGTGCCGAAGTTCCGAAATTGCCGAAGTGCCGAAGCACAGTATTGCCTAAGTACTAATATA